TATAGACCTAAACATACATTAGTGATCACTGTTGGAACTAAATGTATTAGTGTCATACTTTTTCATGTATGTAGATCAGACTCTCACACGCCTATCACTAGTCTCATCGTTATGATCTGTATTCACCTTGCAGACTGGAAGAGGAAAACCCCACATCCGTGGAAGCTTTGACTGGCCAAGTTGCCACAGACAGTACGGTAAAAGAAAGTATGTGCAGTGGCTATGTGTCTGTATTTGATCTTAAATGATTAGCAAAAGCGTATGCTAATGCTTCAATTGGACTGTACGGAACCCATTCACGCGTTGTACAACATACATATACATCCGGACTCGGCTTTCTCGCACGGTATAGATACTTGTGACACCTGACCTTCTTTCTTATTGTTGGAAGGGCTATGCGTCTATCTGATATCATACACATCATTGAGAACCACACCTAGTGGGATATACACCCAGGTACGGTCTCCATTGTGAAACGTCTCAGAATACGTAACCCACTTTGCTGATAAGATCATCACACCGCACAAAGCCACTCAGAAAGCCGAAGCTACATGTACGATTGCGACTAATCGTTGTAGAGTTTGATCTCGCCTGCAAATCGTATCATACTCAGGCGCACACCTTACGGAGACATGTATCGCACTGTACGGACCCAAGCAGGAAGCCTGCTTAAAGTATACGATTGCGACTGTATCCATGAACGATATGGCTCACTTGTGAGTGATATCAGGACAACTAATACTACGGTTCCCACTCTTCTTAAACGGGCTTAGCAATCCTGCCCAGAATGTACGATGCCGAACATGTGCCTGTCGAAGACGCCATCGAGATGAGCGACACTGGGTCTATAGGTACGTCTCTGTGTCATTGCGGATGAAATGGTGGATAGAAGCACGCTCTCACCGAGGCAAATAGGCGTACATACGCGTAAATATATAACTGTTTTAATGTGTACTGGTGGGGATGTGCAAACGTTGAGCCCTGCTATGTCCGTTGTCTATGTAGATACATCAGTGTTCTAAGAAGTCCACATCGCCCTGCATGCTACGCAAGCGTCACAAAAAGTACATTGTAACCTGTATCGCTATCGGCATTTCACTCAATATATATATAAGACTGCCACGGTGGCTCGGTTATTAAGTCGCTGTATGCGTGCGTGTGAGCCAAACCAATAGATTGTGCAACCCAGGCAAATCTGCCGCACTTCATAACGCATCGAAGTTAGGTTCAGAGCTATTGACATTTATATTTAATCTCATTTGCTTGAATTTGAACATCGTCGGTGAAACCGTTTGTAGAATCTGCGTGTCTCGAATGCAGTTTTCAGTCGTGTGTATGTACCATCTTCTCAAATATCACGTGTATCTCATTCCTGTAGATGAGACGGAGCTGGAGGATGCCCCGGACTTGGTTGTAACTGATGCCAGTGGGTTTGATCTAGAGGCGTATGTGAGCAACTTCTCAGGCATGGCACTAATAGACCGCATGGTGTTCATTGCCTCCCGTGCGCCGTCTCTGAAGGTACGAGTACTTGTTGTCAATGAAAGGGATACTAGTCATGCATGTTGTGTATGTAAGTTCATGTATATGTTGAATATGCATGCACGCATCCATGGTCAGGTCTGTGTTGAAAGTGTATGAGAGCAACATCTCACGCATGGTACTGGTAGGCCGCATTTTGACATGCACATATGTACATATTCAGATTTCACGTTCGTGTTTTGAAAGTTTTTGCGAAACCAGACAATCCAGAGGTAAACAGTAGCGTATTTATTGACTTCCGTGCGCCATCTCTTAAATGCGAGTGAATGCCTATTTTGTAGACCATACTATTTGTGCAATCTAAAAATTGGAGTACATAAGCCTCTTACTAAATTATCTTCATAACAACGCATTCAGATGCCTTATTTGTTCCTGTGCTGGCTATTTCTTCAGCATGACACGTATTGGCCGCGTGTTGTTCTCGCATCCCATCGTAGGTATATACTTGCAGTGTGTGTATATATGTGTACTATATACGCACATAGGTACCACGTATACACATCCAACATCAAAAGTACTAATCCATTCTGCTAAATTCCGATGCATTGTAGGTGGAAGCGCTGACTATCGCATTGAAGACGATCAAAGGGAAAACCACCAGCACAAAACTCTACAGAGAAGTTTGGCGCAAATTGTATCCCGATTATGAGTATGTTGTGCAAGTGGTTTTTGAAGCGAACAGTAGTATTTACTGTTTTGAGTTGTACTGCCTACGCACAAGGTATATATATATATATATATATAATATATATATTATATAACTTCGTATAATGTATGCTTTACGAAGTTATTACGAATACACAACT